CACAATCCCAAATTCAGTTGGCGCAGGATATTAACCTAGAAGCAATCATCCTTCTCTGTTACACACTTCACTGTTAGCTCTTTGATCCACAAATTACTATGTTATAACAGGCGTGTCCCATGATCAGTGACCAGTAAAGTCACTTCTTTCAAAGTCTGTTGGTGACTGGTCACGGTGCACGTTGCTAGTGCAAACAGTGGCGTTGTGTTGCCTTCTTGTGTCCCAGTAATAGAGCCACGTAGCAATTTTACTACAATAGATAATCAAAAGAGGAAACTGGCCTACAGGACAAAAAGTAGAGCAAAGAAATGAAAAGCGAAAACACTGGAAGGGGAATTTGAATTGAATGCAAAGCCTTATAGAGACAACAGCAGCCCATGGGGATGTGAGATAGACGCTAGGTCTGAAATGTAGTGAAGGTGAACTTATCAACATAAATCAGTGACATGGCTGCGATGAAAAGGACGATGTCTCAGAGGAAGTGACTCTGGCAAAGCATCTAACATTGAAGGAACTCTTGGAAATAGAGCACAGAGTTGGAAGCACAAAGGTTAAAATGTTAGCTGCTGCAAACTTGGAAGGAGTATGACAATAAGCCAGGGCAAAGGAAAGATAGCTTGCTCTGTATCATACATTTTGAGGAAAGCAAGCATTGCTCCAATACCCTTGGAAAGTTTTTTTACGAAGAAGTAAAAACTTCAATTCTCAATATCTGTATTTAGAGTGTACTAGGTATTAGCTTCATTTTTTGTCATTTTCCATACATTTATAATGGAGAGTTTTTAATATTTTAACAAACATTTTTAGAGGTCATGGAATAATCATTATCCTGTTCTCCCCATTGATCAAGATTGCTTTGCAGTTTCAGCTGCACGGTCGTTTTATGGTCTTTTCTGTGCAAAGCAAGGGCCATCTATGTATGTATTTGTATAAGCAAATATGCACATAGATAGGGCTGTTGCTTTTTACTGGAAGTTGTACCATTTTTGTGCCCCCCTCCCACCCCGGCAACTGTCAGGCTGGTCTGTGAATCTCTGAGCTCAGGGTGTTTAGATCCTCATCCCTATGCTCCTTTATTTCTCCTGGCATTTCTGTATTCTTTTTATGTTGTCATTAGTTCCTTTCAAATTCTGGGTCCTGTTAAGTGGAGCTCTACTTGTGTTTTTCAAATGTTCCCAATACCATTTTCCAAATGTTTTCAGAAAAATCTATGGTAACTACGATTGATTTTATTTTGAGTTATTTGCTTGCAGTTTTTTGTTGTTGTTTTTTTAAACTAAGTATTAATGCCCATTTCCACAAAAGTTCAAACAAGAACTCACCACTTCCAGGTTTCTAAGCAGTAAAATTATCTCATAATTTACTTAAAAAGCATACTGAAAAAACAGAAACATGGCTTTAGAGAGAAAATATTTAATCTGTTTCATGGAAAAAATGTACAAAGCTTTAGAAAACAGCTACTAGGCCTCAGTGTACAGCATAAGCACATTCTCGCTTTCCACAGTCACGTTTTATACTCTGACTCCGTGACAGAGGCCACCGCACACTCGTTCCAAACAACCTTCTGTTAACACAGGTACCTGAAAAAGTCACTGAAAACAGTCTTGAAATAAATGTAGAAATACAGTGTTGTATAAAAATATATTAATCTGGCTACATGAAACGCTTAAAAAAATGCAAACCAAGTAAATTCTTTTAGAACTAGACCATGTCTAGAAATATCAATATATGTCCTTGTAAATTGGATTTTCATTGCATTTTTTCATCTTTGGAAAAAAAAGAATAAATACAATCAAACCTTTGGAATGACAGGCATGAAGTCAGCACAGCAAACTAACTCTATTCTCAGAAATAAAACCACAATGTTATCAAAACTAAAGAGAAGCATTTGTCTTTAAAATTTGACAAACTTACGAATTATTACAATTTGAAAGTAACTATATATCACACAGAAAATTTGGATTTGTTCATAATCCACATGTCAAGTAATGACAGCCATTAAAACATTTCTAAACTGGCTTTTAATGGGCCTTAACAGTAAGAATTTAACATTTTTTTTAATTAACCTACCTAAAATATAACTAGGAAGGTATACCTCAAAATAGAGAAAAATTAATCTCAAAGTCACATAGGATACATTTCCTTTGAAAACAGATATTAGGAATCTAGGGGAAAAAACTGACCACAGCAAAATTTTGCTGTATCTGTTATTTCTGTAACCACAGTTTCTCAGCAAAACTTCCATAGAAACTACTGTTGGTTTTAAAGAGAGGAAGCCTTAGGTGTGGAGAGGAAGTGGTAGGGTATTTTTTTACAGGTAAATGTGGATGCTGAATATCAGACGCATGCGTGAACAAAACGTTTCAACTCTATACACACAAAAACCTGTTAGCGTTTTGAACACTGTAATGGGCACAATGATGAACATCATGTACAGGTTTACAGAACCAAAAGGTTTCTGGTGGGACTCAGAGCAACTACAGGTTCTAAAAATAGAAGACTATTACATGACAGAGCCCTACATTTTCAGAAAGGAACATTCTATTTTTATTCTTCATTACCACAATTTATCAACTCATGTTTTCTCCTACATACCTTAACATTTTTCATGAGCAGAGCATGCTAAAGAATCATACAATGTTTAAATTGAGCCTATTTAAATCTGAGAGCTAGTTTTTCTCTCCACACAGTACTATGAGGTCTTATCTTGCTTTATTTTGAATGTACTAGTAAATAATAACAAAGTATATTAAAAGCAAAAGAAAGTTGATCATTTGCCTCAGTTTCAAATTTCGCACGTTAAAAAAATCTGACAATTTTGCTGAACTCTGTGTTACTGAACTACTCCTGGTCTGAAAGTTGCTTAGGGGAAGAATTCGTGCCACACCCTGGCAGTTACAGAAGTGCCCTGAGCACGGGTTTAGCTGCTGGTGTGGTGCTGTCCAGTGTGTGGGTGCAGGTACAGGCTGGGAAGGGTATTAGAAATACTTATGATTCCTCTTTTTTTTGGTTGTGGACTGGATTCAACAGACTGGAACGTCCTTTGGTACGTAGGCTTGAGAGGGACATGCCAACAAGGAGGAGGGACATGCCAAACAATGAATACCTGTAACTAGGCAAACATTCCACAACAAGTGTCTAGGGCTTTCGCTTTCCAACTCCAGCCCTGAACATAAACTGAATCAGTAATAGAAGGGGTGGCGGCAGAGGCTGCCTCCTGCCCCAGCACCGAGGCTCTGTGGTCAGAGGATGCAAAGCCCAAAGCAGCCAGGCCCACCCACAGTCTAGCACGGGAAGAGCCAAGGCTGGCTGGGCGTGTCATACACATGGGGCAGATGAGCTGAGCCCCTAACTTTTAACACCATTGGTTATAGTACCCTATTGCAAGGAGATGGGGGAAAAGTGAACTTTTATTTAGGAAAAAAGAGTGACTTATGGTAAGCGTGAATTCTTTATTTAAATTCTTTATGTGCCGCAGAAGAGAAGGAGAAATCTTGGTGACTAACAGTGAGAGGGGAAATTCTACTTCTAAAGGATGACAACAATACCCTTTTAAGTTGATGTACAGTTCCTTATGGACTTTAGAAATAGGATTCAGCAAAATTAACAAATTCTAATATTACTTAATTTAAATTAACAAACAATGAAAAGATGTTTATGTTTTTGTACCTGGATGACAATGAATCCCTTGTTCCATTCCTTTAAGCTGGAATAATAGGCTGGCTGGGGAGAACTTGACTGTAATGGATTGCATCCATCTGAGTCGCTGTTGGAGGAGAGGGTCTACATACCACAGTGTTATTTATGAAGCAGAGACCTCTGTGTGTGTTAACAGAATGGCCAAATATTATGTTTCTAGAGCTCACTCTGCTTATTAAAACAAAATTTCCTTAAATATAAGTGAGTATTTTGGGCTTGAGGCAGTTCTGTGCTACAAATTCAGTTAAACTTTATGATAAGGTCTTATAATTACCTTTTGAAAACTGATTAAAATGACATTGTTGGAACACTGAAAAGCTATTTAATCCTTTAATACACCCACCTGCCAAGAAAAAGTGCATAGCATCTGGATTTGAGAATGATAGAGGAAATCTTTGGGGGAACAATTACAGATTGCTCCAAACTCTGAAAGATGAGTGCATAATGAAAAATCCCAAAAGCTAAAATGATTGAATGAATTTAATTTAAATATATTTTTTTATTAATTTCAGAGAAGGGAGAGGGGGAAAGAGATAGAAACATCAATGATGAAAGAGAAGCATTGATCAGCTGCCTCCTGCATGCCCCCAGTGGGGATCGAGCCCGCAACCCAGGCATGTGCCCTTGAACAGAATCAAACCTGGGACCCTTCAGTCCACAGGCCTCCACTCTATCCACTGAGCCAAATCGGCTAGGGCTAATTTAAATTTTAACCAATTATCAATAGGATTTTTTGGGTTCTTTGGATTGATTAGTTACTAGATGTAACTGAAAGATTTGTTTTTAAGACAACAACTTTGAGAGGCAATACAGACTCTTCCTAAATGGGGAATCTATTATGTTTGTGTAACGGCTTAAAACTTCGTTGTGTCTCTGTTTCCTCATCAGGGAAATAAGAAAAAATAGTACCTCCCTCATAAGGTGGTTGTGAAAATTAAATGAGTTAATACATATAAAGCACTTAGAAAAGTGCCAGGCACATATCAGAGCACTCAGGAAATTTAGCTGTTATCCTTATTTACTTAAATACTGCAAAGGCTAAAGAGAGCATTCACAGAAGGAAACAAGTACTCCGAATTGCTCAGTTTATTCTCACTCTTCATTTAGGAGTAGCGCTAGGAATGAGGAGACCTGTGTTCAAATAAAAGACCCACCAGTCACCCCTGTTCAGTCATTGGCGCCAGGCACCGCTGCAGCATCAGGCATGTTCTGGGGGATCTGACCTTGATATGCCACTGACATTCTAAAGCTGTTTCCTATGCTGCAAAATGGACATAACATCTACTTGTCTGATTCCTTAGGTTATCTGGAAGCTCAAATGAGGCAAAATGCATGAAGATTTTGTAAAGCACCATCCATAGTATGTTACAAGGATGTGGTTTTGGGTGAGTATGTCTAGACCCTCTCAAAAAAAGTTTATGACTCTTAGTTCTACAAGGTCTTTAAAATAAAAATTAAAAAACTGCAGATATGTTTCTTTATAACTATAATGTAGTTTATAAAAGAGTAATATGCTTTATTATAAAACTGGATTTCTCATCTTGAATCCCAATTCTCTGGTGAATATTAACATATCAGATAGTTGGTAGAGAAATTATGGTTGCAGAGATAATGTTATTTGTTATGGTCATAAATTATTATTACTAACTAAATCAATAATTAACAGCTTTATTAATTACTAAATGCTTTACAAACACTATTTCATTGAATCCTTAGAGCAGCTCCATGAGGCAGGGGTAGTAGCTCCATTTTATAGGGTTAAATCCAGTGACTGCAAAGTCCCTGCTCTTAACCGCTACATCCCACTACACAACAAAACACCAGCAGAAAAAGCCACAATCACTTCTGTCTTCACTGACTCACATGCTTAGAACTGGTAGATCCAAGAGCACTAAACTATGTTTTGATCTTTGGTAAGAAAAGTTATTATATAATAAGTGCTTACTATTTAGCTCATTTAAAATCTTTCAAAAACATTTCCAGTTGTTTTTTAAATAACACATTGTTCACTGAAAAAAAGAACACAAAAGTAGAATTAAAATAAAAATATCAATAATTCCACCATTCAGGAAAACTAAGTTGACATAGTTCCTCCGCATACATTTTTATGCAATTGTGAACTATGGAGTTTAGGTTATTTTTTGTTGTTGTTAATCCTTACCCGAGGATATTTTTGCATTGATTTTTAAAGAGAGTGAAAGGGGAGAAACAGAGAGAAACATCAATGGGAGAGACAACTGATTGGTTGCCTCCTGCACTCGCCCCAACCAGGGCTGAGGATGGAGCCTGTAACTGAGGTACATGCCCTTGACTGGAATCAAACCCGGGGACCTTCAGTCCACAGGCCGACGCTCTATCCACTGAACCAAACCAGCCAGGGCAGAATTTTGTTGATTTTTGATGATGATTCTTAACTATGATGCCAATATAGTGGTTAGATTGAACATTTTTTAATTGGCAGATATAAACTAAGGGTAACTTTTGTATAAGCAGACAATTATTATATTACAGCAATAGTATTATCAATATCTTTCCCAATTTTTTAATTATGGAGAAACAAGCAGAAAATATCTTATTTCAGTGGTGTTAGAGCTCAAAAATATATTGGCCATAAGAGAAACTTATGTGAGAAATTCCTGAGTTGATCTTTGTATGTGTGTGTGTATATATATATATACACATACATATATACATATACATACACTCATTCACACATATTAAACCCCTTTTGTAGCTGTAAGATTTATAGTTTTCTCCAGCCTGACAATACTATAACTAAATATATATTATAATAGTTAAGGAGAAAATTTTTTTTTAGTCAATGAACTTTGCCAAAGTTATACTTACGGGTGATTAAACTATCAACTTTTCCCTTGTGAATAGTTGTTAAATATTTGCTTGAGACAGCATATTCAAGATTAGCAAAACTCTTTTCAGGGATCATATCAATCCAAAGTATAAATGCAGAAAAAAATCCTACCATTTGTGAAATGCTATAAATAGTGGCAAACCAGTAGAATAATTTAGGGCAAAGATTCCAGGTATTATGTCAAAGTGTGTGTAATGCCACTCCCCTGGCATCATGATTAAGGTGACTTACATTGGTTCTCATCATTTATGCAGGAGAAAAGCAAAAGCTAAAAATATGCACATTCCTATAGTAAACAGAAAACCGACAAGGATCAAGAAATTTTTAAAAATAAACCTCATACTTCCTCTATGTAAGAGGTTTATGTTAGTCACAAATTCTAGGAAGCTATTTCTATTGCTTTAGTATGATTTGCAAAAAATTCTACTAATCATATAAATATTTGGAATGTGAAAAAACAGTGCAGGCTGGGGGCTAAGAATAAGAATGTTCATTAAAACTGTACTTTGAAAGTCAAATACTAACCTAAAACATGGTCTAAACAAATATTTTTGGGTTTTTAATGTACATGAAAATACATACAATACAATTTGTGTACAATGTTAAAAAATTATTAGCAGATATATCTGGATTATCAAGTTAAAATTGTATAAACTTATTTTAGAGAGTGAAAATGTTTATATCCTTAAATAGGAAAAGATAAAGTAAAAATATTCTCATCCTATCCGACTGGCAATGAGAAGTATCATAATCAAGTGGTATTAAAAAATGGCCATGGCCTATTTGCCTTTTATTATAGAACTTTTTTTTTTTTTATTTTGAGGAAAGGTTTATGAGGTAAATACATATAATTTTAAACAATTCTTTACATTTCTACCTCTCTTTAAATAGCACTAGCAGGTTACAAATGAAGTCCAAGTCCTGATCTGTGCATTTCCTTACTGCAGAGATTTAGGTAACCTGAATAAAGAGAGGTAGGATGTTCAATTATATTTCAAAAAATATAAGAAAATAGGTAGATGGTGGTGCTTAGAAGATTATATTTCAAATTTTAGCACTGTTTTGGAAGGGGGAAAGGGATACTGTCCATAAATATTTATTGAATGTGGTTCATCTGATTTAAAAAAACTTGTAAGCTGATTAAACCACAAACCTGTTGAATCAGTTTTAGTAAAAATAAGAATAGGCTTTTAAATAGTTATAAAGAGAAATTATGATTAAAAAAAACTTTCAATATCTTTTGGGGTTTAAAAAAACTCCAAGTGTTATCAAATCCCTGTATGTTTCAACCTTAATATTTTAAAGAGTAACATATTAGGATATATACTATACATATTAATAGCATGAAAGTGCATTACATGGAATTCACTTTGAAGGCTTAGAATTAATTTTTAAAAATATCACAATAAATGATCGTTAACTTAAATTCTGAATATGGGACCTGAAAATCCTGGAACCCAACAAATCTGCATTTAATGTCTACACATAAAATGTGAATTTCTAAAACACACAGACCATGATTCAGCTGTCACAATTCTTTATCATTAAAAAATATCACAGGAATGTGACTCTAAATCCTTTCTCTTTGAAAGTCCTATTTCTGAGGACTCATTCATTGCCTGGTAAGGCTGTTCATTCAGGAAACAGTTAAGGGAGTGAGTCTGTATGTCCTTAGAGACTTTTCTGTATAGAGTTGTAAGGCATTAACAATGGTAAGTTAGAAGAGCAAGTAACATAATAAAAATAGAAATTCTCTTTTCAATGTATTTCAACTGAGAAAACCGCAGAAGAGAACGAAGAACACATTTACCACCCAGGTCCTCTAAGCTTCTACTCTGAGGAAAGATTTTGGGGGGAGGGAGAGGCTTAGAACAGACCTTATGCCCTGAATGTCAGGTGTCCTTATACGAACATGTGGACTGGATCTATGGTACTCTTTAAAGTTATTGTGAAATTACACATTCAAGTGTGCTGCTCGCTATTAATAAAGGTAGAAAAAGTTAGTTAAAATATTTGATATCATTGTTATCAGCAAGCACTGCAAATTATCTCATAATATTCTATACTCTAAGTGTGGACTTAAGTCATGTGTCAAATAGCAGCATAGATTACAACATAGTTCAGACAACAGTCAGTGACTTAGTTGGTACAGCCAGAACAAAGGAATTTGCTTATAATAAATAATTAAATAAGGAGCATAGCTGTACTTTACTATCAGCTGCTAGAACTGAGCAGTGGGTTTCTTGGTATCCAGAGGCAGGAGTGAAGTTTCTTGTCATAAGTTACAGTGACAGTGAGGATGGAGAACAGATGGCTGTGGAGACCGGTTGCTAGCTAGTTTGCTAAAACGCGTACTTGAGCTCTACTGGAGCTGTGCAGCCTTGCTGTGCATCACTTATCTGTAAAGGCTGACTGAACAAAACTCCCTTCATCATACAGGCACTGCTGTCTGCGCTGCAGTAATAAAGAAACACGCTGACAGATATAACGGCTTCAGGTGACAAGCAATTCCCAGGAATCTGCAGTGAGATGGTTGGTTGATTGGCAATGTTCTCTATTTCGCCAGATGGCACCTGTCCTTGAAGAAGCCATTCATTGCCTAAAAGGTAAAAAGGTAAATTATTAAGACTGTATAAGAAAGATAAAAGTATTCAGGAATATAATATGAAAACTACAAAAAAATCTAGGGAATACAAATGTATGTTTAACTCTGCAGTGACTTGCAAATTGAGATTATGATACATTATTGTCTATCAAAAGGTAATAATAAAAAGTAACACTGATATTTTAGAAATAAGTAATACTGCATATATTATTTAATGTAAAAACTAAGAGATTATGTCTACTTCCTTATTACATAAAACTCTTCCAAGACTTAATACATAGATCTATATAACAGAAGTCTAATAAACCACTAAAAACTTTAATCTCCTAGTATTTAAAAACGTTAAATGTCTTTATTCATCTAGTGCCTCTGTCAGAAGGAACACACGCACCACAATGAGGAAGCACATGCTTACACACATTCAGCTTTAGAGGAGGTTAGAGATCAAGAGCCAGCAGATGGGAAGTGCAGGGCACGCTTTCCTGACGTCTTAGGTAGAATACACTGAGTGTAATCTAATGACTGACCGATGGCTCCTGCAAAAATGGAATCACCTATTGAGTAGTGATGAGGTTCTAGGCCTACTCTTTAGCTTTCCTGTCTCTTTCTTTTGACCTCAGGATGAGCCAACACTCAGAGCACCCGTCTTTAGTTTACTGCATCTATTATTCTGTTGACTAAAAAAATCAAACTTGAGAAAAACATGCCAAATAAGAGTAAGGAGAAGGGGAAAGTGAGAATCTAAAGAGTTAAATCCAGAGCTTTTATGCAGGAACTTTTAAACAATTATTTTAAAATGATCTTTAAATTCTTTGGCCTTCTTTATTTCTGAACTGAGGAGTGTTTTATTGAATGTTTGATTTTGCTAAACAGCAGGCTGGTGGGAAACTTCTTAAATCTTAAATCAAACAGCAAAGTAAACTGGGCCTTTTTAATACCTAATTCTTGAAATAAACACAGAATGTTTCTTTACATATTTCTCAGATACGTCACACATGCGATTTGTGAAGTTATAATATGCTAGTGGTGCTTTGTTTTTATGCTGGGTATTTTTTGTTTGTTTGTTTTTGGCTTAAAACCTTCACATATGCTGAAAACTAAGATTATACAGACCAAAATTCAGTTAAAAATAAGTGATTCTGTTTCTAAATAACTGGCCAAGAAAAAATGTCCTTTAATCATAGGTGTATAAATGTACCCTATTAAATAATTTCCAAAAATCTTATTTGCTCCTATACAATAAAAATGGAACCAATATCTTAGACAAGTGATAAAATAGCTAAGAATTTGCTCTATAAACTACTTCACTTTCCTTTAATACTATCCCTATTTATAGTCCAACGAATCAACATTAATTTGTGTGTTTGACAAAGTCGAGTTAAACATGTCAATATCCTATTTTAAAAATCAATACACTGCTCTATATTTCACACAGAGAAGTTAAATTAACAGTGGTCTCCAAATGATGCAATGCTTCCAGGCCAATGGACACAGGCAGAGCAGCTAAACTGGCTATTGAGAACGTGCCTGAATTACGGAGACATGAGGAGTGGTCACAGTCTGAGTACTCTTCTGTCTGCAAAGCCAGCTCCAAACACCCTCCTAGTACTGCAGGACTCAGCCCTCTCTGGTGTGGGGAGTAGGGAGATGTTCCACACAGGCTCAGATACCCCAGAGCCAGACTCCCAAGCTCGAACCCAGCAGTTCCTCCTGGCTAGCCTACCAAGATCTCTCTGTTCTCTTGGTATGGACACCAAGTGTGTTCTTACAGGGCAGTAGTTGCTGCCTGAGAATGCACCAAGGTAAGAAGGCACAGAGCCTGGATCTGGGTAACGTACAAAAGAAAAGTGTGTGAGAGGGCACAAGGGAGGAGGGTCGGGGAGGAAATGGAAGATTGAGTGAGAACGTGTGAAAGAGCGTGGGAGACCAGGACAGAGGAAGATCATGAGAGACAAGTCAGCATTTATTTCTGGACAACTAATATTTTACTTTAAAGTTAGGGTCCAGTCTGTTAGAGCGGCTAGAGAGCACTGCTGTAAGGCAGGCAGGTCACTAATTCCTTACTACAAACTGGTAAGTTCACACTGATTGAAACACACATTCAAAGCTTCATCTAATTTACAGTAACTGAGTACTTTGAAAATAGGCTCAAACAAGAAGTATTCTTAGATTAAAAGGATACAAATTATTAGCCTGGATTCTGCTCATAGTAATTCATTTGTTTTCAATTACACACCCTCCAAAAATGTTATATTTTTCTACTTGAATGGCATACTTTTAAAATATGGCTTTGGAACCTGTTTTCTTGTAGGAAGCGAGTAATGGAGCATTAATTCTATCTGGCATCTCTAAGGAAGAAAATGTGGCTTCAGGCTTAGTAACTGGTAAGTCAAGTCTTAATGATACTATTATATTGAAATAAAATAAACAGCAATTGAAAGCTCTAAAACATTTGATAGATGCTACCTTGAAAAGCAAAAGATAACACAACCAAAGAACTGAATTGGAAAGAGCTCATGTCATTTCTTCAGTGAAAAGCAAGCATATGTTTTTAAAACTATATACTAAAGGGGAAAATCAACTTAATTCTTTAGAACAGAATCTGTGAGATTCTATTACTGAAAGGCATAGTGGCAAACACAGTGAATACTGGATGAGGACTGTGGAGACCCACGTGGACGGCACATGACCTGCTTATAATACTATTCGACACTCACCTGCACTGCCTGCGCCCTGTGGCTACACTTGGCTGGAGAGAAACAGCCTCCATGTGGACTAGTCTGGCTTTCCATCCTTGACGGGTAGCCTCCAGCTATTCAGCAGTCACACTGCTTTTCCTTCATGTACTCACCTCCTAGATGACCCTCTTCTCTCTTCAAACCTCCAAAACCTCTCCCCTCTCACTCACTCTGTTGATGGCCCGTGTTTCCCAAGAAAACAGAAGCATCAGAAAAGGGCCTCCACAAACCCTACCCTCCACAGCTCTGGGTCACACAGGGGCTTTCTCTCCTAACTGTGCAAATGCCCACAATCTACTGTGCACCTGGTCCCACCACATCTCATCAACTCTTTCTCTATTGGATCTTTGCCATCGATAAACATGCTGTTCTCTAACTCCATTCCCTCTTCTAGCAACTGCTCTATTTCCTCTTATCTTTGCAGCTAAACTCCTGAGTTATTTGGATTTGCTTTCTCTAGTTCTCCTATTCTGTTTTCACCTCCATCATTCAGAGGACATCAACTAACTCTCTAAATCAATGATCAATTCTTAGTCCTTATCTTACCTGATCTGTTAATAACTCTTGATGCAGCTGGACATTCTCTGGGTTTTGTTCCTGCTTGCTTCCCTGGTCCCTCTCCTCCCTCTGCGCTGTGCATGTTGGAGTGCGCTAGCATGGTGCTACTCCAAGGATAGTCCGTGGACTGGTACTCATCCACAGACCATGAGGTAAGTACAGACACTGAGAGTAAGGTTTAGAAACTTTCATAACATCCAAATGGGTAATCGGTGGGGTTTTGAACTTTCTTTTTAAAAAAATGAAATTAATTTTTAAGACTAACAACTCTATAGCTAGTTTGAGAGGAAGTAGCACAATGGAAAAGACAAAACCAATTATAAGCAGAACTGGGTTCAAATTCCATTTTTGGCCTAATTCCATATATGTCCTTGAGCATTTACCATAATTAGTATCAGCAGTTATTATAATCACTATTTCTTTGAGCCATCAGTTCTCCTCATAATAGAAGGTGCCTTTCACAGCTCTTACATTGGAGGACCTATCATTCTGAGACCACAGAGGTCAGCTTCAGGTGATGGACTTGCCTAGTAGCAAATGCAGGCAATTATGATTGAGTACTTTTGGATGAGTTACACTGTTTTTTAATAAAAGAGATAAAAGAATTTCAAAGACTAAAGAAAACTGCTAAAGTGGGGTTAGATCTAGATCTATTTTGTCACAAGACTTCTCTCAAATGTTGCCTAACTAGAGAGTAAAAATATCATATACAAATGAGAAAGATTAAACATCAAGAATTTATGGAATATTTGCACTTGCAGGATTATTCACATACCTTCAGCTGTTAGAAACCAGCAACTGGGTGCCCCTTCAGTGAGCTTTGTTCCTGACGGGAGGTCTAATCTCAGCTGGAACTGCAGAGTCTGTCCTGGAGATGCAGCCACGGGGGGGAGTTGAACGGCTGGAGCTGATTTTGGTAGTTTGGGTACTGTCTGTTTTTCTACTTTTTCTACTAGGAACGGGCCATCTACCACAGCATTTCCAGAGCCGAAGACCGGGAGCTAGGAAATAAGAAAATGTGTTTATTCCAGCACCGGTACTTTACAACAATTGTAGAGTGAGAGTTTATTTTTAGACTTCAGGCTGAAATGAGGTTTAGAAATATATTTTGTTTTGGCAAAAAAATTACCAACACTTATGAATGAAAAAGAATTGTTCAATATGCTTATAGATGGCAGAAAATTAAAACTATATCAATTTAAATGTAGTGGATATAATATACATCCTTTATAATTTTCATTGCCAACTGTATGATGCCATTCATATATCAGCTCTATGTCACAAGAAATTACATGCTTTAAAATAAAAACAAATTATCATCATAATATACCTTGGAAATTCCTAGAATTTTAGGAAAAACAAACTCTTGCATTTTTAAAAAATTTTATTGGAGACCATGTGTATATCTTTAAAAATTGATGAGAACTTCTATCTTATTTTCAATGTCTTGAGAAACATGGCTTCTAGAGCTTCCTTGGGAAGACCATTTGGTAATGGATTCACCATAGGAAACAAAGATTACATGCTAATTTAAGAATCAATAAAAATAAGACTAAACAACCCAACCCCCACAGTATGTGAGGGTAATTGTGTCAGTGTGTCCACATATTTAAAAACAGGAGTCCTCTTTTTTTTTCCTTTTCTGAAAGTTCAAAATCTTTCCAACTCCCAGTATCTTTCTCAAACACTCTAGACACAAATGGAATTTTTACTTAAAGAAAATAATATGATATCCTTCACACAGACATTCATGTACTCTTCTACCTACATGCTTCACTTTCAGAACTGGACACGGACTAACCAAAAGTGCAGTCAGTGCTAAAGATCTTAAAGTCACCCATAAAATGGTACCTTTAAGGTATACTTTAAGATTACTTACCACAGAAATCGTTTTTGTTTCTAAATCCATCACTTTAATCTGATGATTATTTGTGTCTGCTACATATAGTAACTCGCCATTCTCTCCAATACACAGGCCTCCTGGTTCATTAAAGGTCGACTCGGTGAAACTGGAACTGACATTACTTGCATCTCCAGTTCCTGCTAATGTTGTACACTGTTTTGTTTTTGGATCCACAACTTTAATCTAAACCGAATGAAAAAAAATCATATGTCTGAAACTCAAGCTCATGTTTGTAGTATGGAAAAGTACAGTATCACGCAAGCCAGAGAATTTTTGCTTATTAGTATTCTTAAAAAAAATCATAGGAAAATAGGCATTTCTACATTTTCTTGAAAAAGCCAAACATTCAAATTATAGTCTAAGGGGAGAGCTGAAAACCATGTAAAATCCCCGTTACATCTTACCCTCTGGAAATAAACTTGGATGAAATTTTTTTAAGTTTCAAAATATTATTCTCTTTTCTCAAAATGGGATACGGCTGGACTTTCTTCTCATGAGCATCTAACATTGGCTGAGGATTTGCTACTTATGTTGAACTTAATGATTTCCTTTGTCTCAATTGTATTAAATTTATAGTCTTTCATCACAAAATATGAATATTAATTTTCCACGAACTTTATAAAAAATAAAAATAGGAATAGTTGGCCGAAACCGGTTTGGCTCAGTGGATAGAGCGTCGGCCTGCGGACTGAAAGGTCCCAGGTTCGATTCCGGTCAAGGGCATGTACCTGGGTTGCGGGCACATCCCCAGTAGGAGATGTGCAGGAGGCAGCTGATCGATGTTTCTCTCTCATCGATGTTTCTAACTCTCTATCTCTCTCCCTTTCTCTCTGTAAAAAATCAATAAAATATATTAAAAAAAAATAGGAATAGTTGGATAAATGAAATGCTTTTAATTCTGTTTTAACAGAATTATTTGCTAATAGGTGCTACAACTATGCAACTAAAAAATGTTCATTTGTTAAATGACATATTAATTTCTGTGCTACTTACCTTCTCCTTATTTACTGAATTTGTTACTAAGCAGCTTTGATGGGTTGCAATTCCCAATTTTGGCTATATCCATTGGAAGCATGTTTTATTTACTAGTCCTTTCCCCAGCTCAGAGTACCATCAAACCCTCTTTGCAAAGAAAGGACCAAGAAAAGAAAAGAGGTCTTTTATATATAGTTGTCAAAGACTGTTGCTCCTCTTTATGCTTTCGAGTGGCAACTGTAGGAGGCTCTCAGGTTTTTCAGCATTTTAAATACAACAGATGAAAAACAAGGTGTTACATAATTCTGTCAAGACTCACCTTGTGATTGTATGAGTCTGCCACATAAAGTAAATTCCTTTTCTTGTCCCACGTTACTCCAAGGGGGTGCTGAAGCTTTGCACTGATTCCTACTCCATCAACATCACCAAAAGCAAATAAGTTCTTTTTTAAAAAAGGAAAAAAAAAACACACAGCTCATATTAAAATTTCTACAGTGTTGTGTTAGCATATAAAGTGAAAATTAAGATGGCTGTATATGCTGCTTAAGTTAAAGGGGAAAAGGTCTGATTTCATACAAATAGGGCTGGGTATTTGATTCAGACTAGAATAAAAATGATAGAATTTTGAACTTGTATTATTGTGTGGTTCTTTATAGTTTTATTGACAATAATCACACATCTGGTCAGGAACAGGCCAAGGTGACCAACCTGGTACTCTTTATACCATCCTGCCAAATATCTAATTTACACTTTCCTCTTATTAATAAATACTTTATCCTTCCTTTCTCTCTGAAGTCTGGACATCTATACATATAAAAGGCTAATGTGCAAAGTGTCCCCTTGGGAGTTCGACTGGGAAAATGAGAGTTCAATCGCTTGCTGTGATGTGTGCTGACCACCAGGGGGTGGTGTGGAACATGGCAGGTGACCAGCGGCGGAGTGTGGGTGGCGAGGGGAAAGGAGGAGCCGGGAGGGAACCGCACGCTGGTGGCACATGGGCAGCATGCGGGAAGGAGGGGGCGGGGAACCTGATGGGCCCTGATCACTGGACATGCCTAGGGACCGTACCTGTGCATGAATTTCGTGCACCGAGCTTCTAGTTTATATACATAATCATCAACTAGAGTGAGTTTGCTTTTCTTACATGGTTTTGTTTGTGTTTCTTTATATTCACCTTTCCTTTGACTTGACTTACACTTTAATCTATGGATAGGCCAAGAACACTCTCTCCCCCAAATTTTAAGAACTATTCACAGTTCAGAAAAGTGCATTTTTTTAAGTGTCTGGGCACACTGTGCAGGAGGGATTTCATTACCATGGGATCTCTTTCTCCTCCTACAAGGTGCTTCACTGCTCCATCTTTCAGTGAAACGGTTCTCACAGTGCTGCTCTCACTATCAGCTACAAACAGACAGCTCCAGGGATCTTCGGAGGCCAGAGAGAGACCTGAAGGTTGGGCAAAACCTGCCTTGTGAGGATATGCATTATTTCGATTTTCTTCATTTCCACTTCCAGCAAACCGAAGGCAGGTTCCTTTTTTTAAGTCACTGAAAAAGACAATTCATGGGTGAAGTCAACATTGTTATATGTGTCCAATTTAGTTATTAAACAAATGAGTGTTAATGATGAAATCAATGGTGGTAAGCATTGTAAAAAAAAATCTAGTGATCTTGGCTCAGTTAAATTGTGCAAGTCAGTTTTCACTGTAGTTTTTCTAATTGTTAACTAACTTATTTATCCACTGTGTAGGGACCTTTCTACATTTTTGACATATATAAAACTGAAACTATTCTCAGTGGTCAGACAGGAAACCCCTGACAAGGTTAGAATTACAAGAATAGTGATTGTATCATTGATGGTATAGATTTTTTTTCCCCCTCCAAATGTTCAGGGACAGGTACAGCTGGATCCCACTTTAACTTCTTCTTAGATTCATACAATATTAGGTCCTGAAAGGGAATTAAAAAGATTATCCAGCTCTTGATAGATTAAAGCTTAAGTTTCCATTTTAAAAAAAGTTTTGTTTTCTTATACACAGTAGACTGAAAGATTACTTCAACAGACAACCAGCTCAAGCATTACCCACTTTAAGAAACGAATACAGGATGATTATGCTGCTCTAACAAATCAATTATGCAAATCAATTTCTTATATACACTAGGGAATTTTCTACTTCAAGGATTATTGCAGGATTCCTTATGTAATGCAGAGAAAGTTTTATGCCATAGTTTCTGAATTTATGCTGGAGGGATTGTAAGGAAAGAGAAGAAGCTGACTTTGAAGCAAAATAATAAGATTCCATGCATATCACATCCAAATATGGCATAATATACAAAAGTCTAAAATGACCATCAGTCACTCTTTGGTTGCTATGTTCCCAAAGCTCAGTTAGGCAGGGAGCAGAGGATGGAGGCAAAGGGATACAGAGTGTATAAAATATGGCCACTTACTCAAGGCACTGGGAAAAAAATCTAGTCAGAGAAATACAGGTAATAACTAACATGTCAAACAAATAAATTAAAGGTAATTACTACAAGGAGTCAATCTAAAAAGGAGTTCCCTTAAGAGGTAGAAAGAGTGGAAACAGTAACTTCTAAAATGTTAGGAGTCATTCCCACTCAAAGATCAGTAACAAAGATAAAACATCCTTAAAATTATGATACAGGTCAATGTGATCTGGGTGGATACTTTCCTAAAAAGAATGAGAGTAAACACTCTACTTATTTGGTATTTAGTCAACTCTTGACCATTTAGGTCCAACACAGCCATCACTTAGAACATTCTGGCCATCTCTGTTATTTCTTTCTGCTGTTTAAAATTACGTCTCATGGAAAATGTTTGGTCACTTCCCTGTTTAGGCTACTATCATCTCCTGCCTGGATTACAATAACCTCCTCACTTCTATCTATGTGTCTAGTCTTGTCCCTCTCCAAATGTCCCCAGTGTTTTTAAAAAAACAGTTCTTATTATGTTACTTCCCAGCTTAAAACTTTCTAGAAAGGCATGCAGAGTAATGTTCAAATCTCTTAAAAGGGCTCAAAGGCACTTTGTGATATGGCTTCTACCGACATGACTACAGAGTCATTTCTTGCCTGAAAAACCTCCACTCTCCCAGTCTGTGTCCTACTCCTCTATCAGGTTTCAGTCTACTTGTTTCTTCCAGGAAGCCTTCCTTGACGGATATCAGGTGTTCTTCTTATTTACACAAGGGACAATTTCAAGTTGAAGGACTGCTGCAGTAATTTTTTTATACACAGCACCTTCCCCAAGTGTCTTGTTTGTTTGCTAATCTGGTTCTTAGTCTGTAAGCTCACTGAGGACAGCAACCATATCTTTTCATTTTATTCTTAATTAGTGAGTATATTTCATTCCTATTGCCTAGTATAGTGGCTAGCATACAGTATGTTTAATAAATAGAGGAATTAACTGTTGCAAACATCATACAACACAGCACACACATACACACTATTTGAAATATATCTGATATTTTTGATTATGCATACAACTGCTCCTTTCTATTGATAAAGGTAATCAGGATGACAGGCATTTTCTATGGTGACTTGACAGTCTTTCTGGCTAATACTTTCATTCATTTTTTTATTCTGCAAACCTTTACTGGCTCCTAATATGTACCAGATACTGTGCCAGGTATGGGGAACACAAAAATGAATGAGAAAGGGTTCTTTCCTTTCAGAGGCAGTCTAGTAAGACAAAATAGTTAACAAATAAGTGCAACCAAAAACAGACAAGGAGAGTCAGAAGAAAAGAGAGAGGTGGGGAGGGGAAGAGAAGACAAACTTACCAGGGCAGTGACATAACTACATAAGCAGTGCAGTGAAATCACAGGGAAGACTATGATCAGTTCTACCTGGGGTGTTAGGAAGAAGAGAAAAGGCTCTATCGAAAAAGATATAAGAAACTTTGTAGAGACACTACTTTTTCACCTTTATATCCCCACCAGTGACAACAAAGCTACAACCATTTGCTGAATATGCCAGGCATTAGGCTGAGCTCTTCACACATATTGATTCTCAAACAAACCTAAGAGGGAAGTAAAAATAAGAACTCAGAGTTAAAGTGGCTCCCCTAAGCTCGCACAGATAGTAAATGGCAGACCAGGATTCAATATCAGGCCTGACTACAACACCGAGCTATTAACCACGATGCTTTATAGCACTTAAATACCGGGACTAACGAGTGGGAATGCCTGCACTGGGAGTCAAAAGGAAGTGCTCACCAAATGCCTCCAGGCTTCTTTCTGGCCGCTCAGTGGGATTGCTCATCCAGGGTCCCTGAAGTTAGATGAGGTGTGGTCGTGAGACTGACTGTGGCTGATGACATGTAAGTAGAAGTGATGTGTCACTTCTGAATAGAAGCTTTAAGAGGTATTAAGGGACTCACCACCCCTCTCTCTCTGCCAGGATGACTGGCAGAGCTCTAGATGGTGGCTGCCGCATCAGCCTGTGTGGCAGAGCAGTGCTCCCGGTGCACCTAAGTGAGTGAGCAAAGGACCAAGCCTTGTCTTAAGCCACGGAGAATCTGGCTGTTTGTCATGGTAGTGTATCCCAGCACCTCCTGACAAGTACAGTAAGTGTCAAGAGGATGGAGACTTGCGAAAGGGAATTCTGTGAACTCCAAGTTGTGCAGTTTACCCCAAAAGAGATATTGCCACTTACTTTTTCTTTGGTAGTCGGCCACAGTCCAGTAGGAGTGCCCATATCTGATGAGTCCCTGCCATGGCTATCCACAGAATGTCATCTCTTTGGACCTCTGAACCTTTATAAAAGTAAATAGTAAATAATATGTACATATTTTGGTTAATAGAAAAACACCAATTTTTTTGAGAAATTTAAGGGAAGACAGTAATATGTTTATAAATCATCTGATAGAAGAAAGTAAAAATATTGCAATGTTTTAAGTTGTTTTTGAAAAATTTCTATTTTCCTTGTGAAAGACATACTTCTTTAGACTTATAAATATACTGGTAAATTCACAGAAATCCAATGTATTCTTAATAGTAATATGCCCCTGCATCCTGGGCACAATGTTTTCAAACATCTGATTTTTTATTTTATGTGATAAAAGAAATGGGTTGGCACATACTTTCTAAGAAATTGGTAGTCAAATAATCAGCACTAACCACCTAAATTATATGCTTTAGTAACAGTTTCTCATGAAAACACTATTTTAATATTTTAAGAAATGTTTATATCTGCGACAATATCAACTTTTAGACTTAGATATACATCACAACTGCTATTTAAAAATCAATTGTTTAATTGGTTAGAAAACTTTTTCAAAAACGCTCGAGTATAATATAGCTGTTTACTAAAATTAAACAATTAAAATGAACAAATAGTTGTAAAAATTAAATTTATAACTTATTACAATGTGACAAGGCTCTATTTCTCAAATTCATTTTGTTAAATATTTAAATATTTTAATTTTAGATGTATTCTAAGGCTACTTTTACATGTAATTGAGGTATTTTAACTAAAATCATTTGGTCAGACACATGCTCTAAGAAATTATCTTAGTAAGGCTATTTTATTTATATTTTCTTTAACTTCAAGTAGTTTGTATTTAAAAGAAACTTTTCTTCCTTAACTTGTATTACTTTCAAGTGCCTTTCAATTTAACAACAAAAATGATGACGAGGGTTCTCAATGAATGTGGTTGCTATGCGCCAAGCATTTTACAGAGATCATCAGTGAACTTTTCTCAAAGCCCCGGAAGACAGGTAGTGCTATTATGTCCTTTTTACAGATGAAGAAACTGAAGATGAAAGAGGGTAGGTAACTTGCTAGGATCACAGAGCTAGTAAATGAAGGAAGGAATTGGAACAGGCAATCCAACAGAAAAATCTATTTTACATGTTGCCTTTTCTCTGCATTCTTAATTACTATCCTATAAAATATAAAGGAAAGCAGTTTATTTCAATTTAATTTTTTCATAGTCAAATACTGTTATAAACATAAATTGCATTAAAAGTGATAATGGCATTCCATATATTCTGGGGACTCAGTCTCTGTTTAATATTTTAAAACTAGATCAAAGGCTTTTCATAATTATTTTATTTTGCCCCTTCCATGTGAGGATAAAAAGGAAGGTGACTATAAGCCAAGAGAAAGCTCTCACCAGAACCCAGTCATGCTGGCACCTTGACCTTGAACTTCTAGCCTTCAGAACTGTCAGAAACTAAGTGTCTGTTGTTTAAGCAACCCCAGTCTGGTATTTTGTTATGGCAGCCTAAGCTGATAAAGACAGTCCCCTAAGAGTAGAAATTAGACAAGGATATCTGCTATAAACACTTATTTAGCGCAACAAGAAAAAGTAGCAAAAAAGTATGAAGATTACACTTTATAGTATAAGTATTAGTTTGGTCCTGGTTTCTGTATACTTATTTCCTTTAAACTCCTAAGAAATGAGAAGAAGTGACCAGGCTGTGTCAGGTCAAAATTCAGATGTTGGGATTCTATCTATCACTTGATGATGGTGGTGGGGATGGTGATGAAAATGATAACCACCAGAACACTTCCTATGTTTAAGGTCCTGAGATGATAAACATTTTACATGAGTTATTCCCTTTAATAACTTTTTTAAAAAATATATTTTATTGATTTTTTACAGAGAGGAAGGGAGAGAGATAGAGAGTCAGAAACATCGATGAGAGAGAAACATCGATCAGCTGCCTCCTGCACATCTCCCACTGGGGATATGCCCGCAACCCAGGCACATGCCCCCGACCAGAATCGAACCCGGGACCCTTCAGTCCGCAGGCCGAAGCTCTATCCACTGAGCCAAACCGGTTTCGGCCCCTTTAATAACTTAATAATGCCTTCCAACCTTAAGAAGTCTAGTATCATCTCTATAAAGAAAGTGAAATTCACAGGGGTTAAATAATTCGTGGAAATTCACACAGCTAACCTGGAATACTCCATTAGGAAGTTGATTACAAATCAGCAGTGTTCTGATCAGAATGGAGCCCATGCTCTCTGGTCAGTTCTTCTGTGGCCTGTTCTTTTCTTCCTCCCTTTTGCCTCTGCCCCATGGATTTAGCTCTGGCTTTAAGTACCCAAGTGCAGTATCACGTATGATCACAAATAGCCATCTAATCAAACTTAACCATGGCTTTCTACTTCAGCTTCACTCCTTATGCCCTCCTCTCCCTATGGCCTCTGGCTGAGTAATCTTTTACAAGTATTTTTCCAGTCCCTCGCCTTCCCATCTTTGATTTGGTTCAGCTTAGTAACATCTCTTTGTGACTTGTGAAATGACTCCATTCTTATAGCAAAGAATGAAAATAACATTGATATATTAATCATTTCTTTGTACAAGCACTGTTCTAAGTGCTTTTCCATATATTCTCATAATTCTCACAATAAGCCTTTGAGATAGGTACTATTAGCATCTTCAATTTATTTATTTATTTATTTATTTATTTATTTATTTATTTATTTATTTATTTATTTTTAAATATATTTTATTGATTTTTTTACAGAGAGGAAGGGAGAGAGATAGAGAGTTAGAAACATCGATGAGAGAGAAACATCGATCAGCTGCCTCCTGCACATCTCCTACCCGGAGATGTGCCCGCAACCCAGGTACATGCCCTTGACCGGAATCGAACCTGGGACCTTTCAGTTCGCAGGCTGACGCTCTATCCACTGAGCCAAACCGGTTTCGGCAGCATCTTCAATTTAGATGAGGGAATTGAGGCATAAAGAGTCTAGTAGCTTGTCAAAGTCACACGACCACACTAAGATGTAAAACTGGCTCCAGGGTCCAAGCTCAAAACCAGCATGCTACACTGTCTTTCAAGAAGTTTTTACTCTGCCTGATCATTTCTCTGAGGACTGAAGAGTTTTTACAAATAAAATGAGAATTTAAAAAAAAAAAGGTAGTCTGGCATTTATGTCTATCAAACTAACGAGAGTCACTTTAACAATTTATACTGTTTATCCTGGATTTAAAAATCTAAAGCACATAACTGTATCACTAAGTTATATGCATATATGCATAACCCATGGACACCGACAATAATGTGGTGAAGGCCTGGGGTGGGGGGCGGGTGTGGGGTGGAGGAGGTAAATAGGGAGAAAAAAGGGAACATCTGTAATACTTAATTGTAAAACAATAAAGATACATTTTAAAAAATTTATACCATTCATCCTGGTTTTTAAAATCTAAAGCACATAGTTGTATCACTGAGTAGGGTATTACTTTTGTTCTTTCTAACAATTACGAACATTTCCATTTTAAGTTAAGAGCACACTTAGTACCACTGACTTTCAACAGTCACAAATTAAAAATAAAAAAGGATAATGCCAAAAGCTAAAAAGGTTTGGGAAAGTCAAAATCCCTCATAATCATCAATAAGGATTACTGAAATAGTTTCAGAAAGCAGAAATAAAATCGGCAAATGAAATATAGAAATGAAAAAAACACCTTTTATCCAGCTTTTAAATATTCTGTTATTTTAAGTAATTATGATAAAAATAAAGTCCACTGGCTAGAACCTTCTTAATAGCATCTGTGAAATCCTCCATTAGTGTAGTTTTTCTCCATAGTCTCTAAACCTCCTATGAAGCAAGGCCTTAAGCCACTAGGAAAAAGCGACAAAGCCCCGGGCACAGGAAAAGACTAATTCGAGGACTGGAAGAGGGCAGAAGAAAAACATCTCTTCATCTCTGGGAGAGGGGCAGGAAATTGTCTTTGGTCAAAGACTCCATACTGACACCAAGCAGGGGTTCCCCACTGCTGGAGGGAAAGGAGGAAACTCTTCAAAACCACTCACAGATTAAAGGCAGAGTTTGGTTGCCAGAGAGAAACGGAACAGAAACAATGAAAAAAAAAAAAAAAAAAAAAGCTCCCATTTCCTTTCCTGGACCACAGGCACACAGGGGTCCTAAGACTGAGACTGTTCAGAACAACAGAGAACACTCCCTTAGAGAATGACAAACAGCAACAGGTCACCTGTCATGCAGCTGCAAGAGTAAAAGAGAACCACTGTGGTTGAGCTGTACAGGATGACTGAAAGCCGAGGTGGAACCCCCCACCCCCAGCCTCTAGGTCCCCATGCTTAGGCAACACCAGCCCACAGCTAAAGGAATTCAAAAGCTGTGAACTGACAGAACTCACAGCAATAATAACACCCAGACCCAGCCCAGCTTCTGACTACATTGACTCAACCTCCCATAATAGTTAGATAAATACTATTGATCTCAGCCCCTCTAATTCCACACAAGATGACTGGAATTTAGTTAAAATTGAAAAGACAAACATAAAGTAAGCAGAACCCCTCCTCCCTGTCCCTGCCTCTCCACCCCCGCAAAGAAAAACCCTCACCCAAATAAACACATACCCACCCCTCATCAAAAACAAAAAACAAAAAACAACCCCCACACATTTTCAAGAAACAAAGCAATCAACAGTAACAGACTGAAAGATTACCTGAAATCTGGAACTATATAACATGGACTTTGAAATTACTATGCCACTATGTTAGAGAATCTAGAGAAAAAGGTGGCCTACCTAAATTTGTAAAAAATTTCAGCATAGATGGAATCTAAGAAATAGTAATATGGAAACCCTATAAAAATATCAGATGAAAAATTCCTTCAACAATCTCATCAACAGACTAGACACAGTTGAGGAAACAATCACCCCAACGATAAATCAATAAAAATTATTCACACTAAAACACAAAGAGAAAAAAAGGGTAAAATAAAAAGAGCACAGTATGTAAAAAGTGCTGGGTATAATATCAAGAGTCT